ATGATATTTTTAATAAAAAAAAAAAATAAAATAAAATGTTTAAATGCATAAAAATTGCTAAGTTGTGAAATTTTATTAAAAAACGATCGTAAAATGTATATTGAAATGTAATTTAATTGTAATTATATTGTAATTTAATCCTGTAATACTAATATTTATAGGCAACAACAACATAACACTATTATATATATAATAAATATAATTATATTTCATAGTATATAATAATAAGTTATAAAATGCAAATTAAGTCGTGTAACGAAACTTATTTTCAATTGGTTTTGTGTATATTCAGGATCATACTCAATCATATTTTATCGTAAAATTAAACCATACACAATCTGCATGTGCCTAGGTTCGTTTAATTCCATCTTTAATATATGCAATGCGATATCAATTTTCTATGCACGTAGGTTGACAATGGATTCTAGGCACACCGAACTTTAAAACCGTAGTCAGCTATTTTGACCTACTTTTTCTATAACTTTATACGCTCATATAGCGTACTTAGCCTACGTAGTTAGCTTTTTTGTTCGACTTTTTCCATAACCCTATACGCTCATATAGTTTACTTCTCGAAATATCCAGAGATATATCAAAGATATAAAACTTTTGTTTTGATTACACAAACAACTGATAACAACAATTGATTGTTCTTGGTTTTCATATAAAAATGTCCAACTTCAAAGCCGGATATCTCAAAAATTAAGTTGTATTTGATTAATAGCTCTTTATTGAAATCCGTTACCAAATGACCGGAGTCGGAAAATCCGATTTTTATATGTTAGTTAAAATGTTAGCGGCGAGTGAAATATTTAAAGTTTGAATTTCGAACTAATAAAACTAAGAAATCTCTTAATATAATGATCTTCCTGACCTTTGGCATTGACTCATGAATTCTCAACTAATTTATAGTTTTTACTCAAATGGATATCGCTTAAAAATGCTCGGGTTCTAGAGAGACTATTAATGCATCCTTCTATACAAGTTGATCAATTATTTCGTTACTGTTAAATGGGTTCAGATGTTCACATTGATAGTACTTTGTTCATATTAGCGATATGATCTTTCTTAAGCTTCGATCATATTAGATCTCCAAGATTGGTGATGAACTTTTATACTTGTATGAATATTCGCATAATAAGATAGCATTTTTTATTTGTATGATCTTCAAAGTACATATTTCTATATATTGATCTGTCTATCTATTTTTGATCTATCAATATAACCAACGGCTATATAGAGTTTTCGTTCTTCATTCATTAAAATTACCTAAAATTTTTGTAAAAATGACTCTTTCTGGTAGTAGCTGGAAGTATGAACGTTGGAAACAGAAAAGCACTTTTTTTTTCATGGTTCAAAAGTATTTTTATAAATATTAATTAAAGAATTAGCATTACATAGTATTTCAAGAACACGTTTTCATTAGATCCATTATGCCTAAGGATGCCAATTGCTTGACTTTACTCAGATATTTTTGACTATAATTTTTATTTAGATTTTGATTACAATGCCTCCGTCAAGTTAAAAAAGAATATAATTTGTTTAATCAGTGTTAAATTTAGCTTCTCAGTGCCAGTTAACTACACCAAAAAAAAAAAAACAAAAAAAATAAAATAAGAAGATAAACAACAGCAAAAGTGCACGTTTACTAATAAGAACTAATAAGAATAAGAACTATTAAGAATAAAACTTACTAATAAGAACAAATTTCTTGCAAAATATTTATAATAAAACTAACAGTTAAAAAATCAGTCAAGTTCATTAAAAACACGGTATAACAAATAAACGATTAATTATCCCAATTAAACATTTGGATAAAACTTTAATTGTTGATTTCCTCTTTACCAAAGAACCAGGTTATAAAAGACTCTTCAAGAAGACTCGCGGATACGGTACCATTTTCTCCCGACAAAAGAATCATTTCTGATCAGAAAATGAGCGCATTTAAGACTATTTTAATCAGGCAGAAGACTCGAAAAATACTTGAATATGATAAATAATTTCATAAAATTCTGGGTAGGATGTACTTGTACTCACATGTAACTACGAGTACTACTCACATGGACTTGAAATGTTTTCTGTTGTTATTGCCTTGTATTGCTATTATATTGCTCGCTTACAAGACTGGGTATTTAAGATCGTGAACACTCTTATTATTCAATTTAAACATGTAAGTTCAACTAATTTATGGAGCTTGAGAGCTGTGTTTATAAAATATTAGAATGTCTAACTTTAACTGATGTGTAGTGTTGTTATGGATCAGCAATATACTTCTATTAACAAATAGTATTAAATTGAAGAATCTTTTTTGTATAAATAAAGTCTAAATTTAAACGGAAGATAAGCTTATATATCTATTTTTAATCGAATGAAGACAGAATAATAAAATATTATTAGAAAAATTATGATACCTAAAAACCTTCAGTAGTGATTTCAATTTCTTCTGATGTCGGTTTCTATTGGTGGCGAGCACTTTTGTGATTTCCTTTTGATTATTTTGTTCATAATTTTATTTTGTTTGCCTTACTTCCTTGCTGCTTTTGATATGCTTTTTCCCATTGATTTTTTTCTTCTCATTCTATTTTATTATTTTTTTTCTTAAATATTTTTTTTTTTTATTGTTGGTGATGAAATTGAGAATCGTCATTTGAACGTGAAACAATGGCAACAGCAAACTCTGGTTGTGATCACTGTTTACGGTATGTGATCATTTAAAGTTGCCATTGTAGTTTTTGGTGTGTATGTATGGGAATTTGAGATTTGCAGATTTCTGTCTCAGTTTCTTCTGTAGATTTGTGGGAAGAGAGTATATTCATCCGAATCGGTGTTTAATCTTGAGTAATATTTTGTTGTAAAATGTAATCATATTTTTGAAGGCTTTATTTTTTTGTGTTTTCATAATTCGATTAAAATATTATTAAATAAAAATATTTGGATATTTATAAATAAAATAATTATGACTTGACTATGATACAATATTTTATACACCTGGTATAAAATATGTTACACCAATCACACATGCATCAAAGTTTTTTGGAATACTATTACATTACCGATCTCTTTAGTAATAAAAAAAAATTTACAATAAAACCGCAACTGTATCTAAAAGGGAATATTCAAATAACAGGTGCTTTCAAACAAGATTGAAAAGTTTATTTGTGTGTAATACTTTTTTATTAATTTATAAGTACAGACAGAGTGTGTAAAAGTCTTATCGTTTCTCTGTTCGCAAGAAAGACGAATCAAAAACTCTTTCCACAAACTACAGATATTTTATATATAGACTACAACACACACAATCGACCCATCAATATTGGTTTCATGAATAATTCAGTCTATTCAGTCTATGAATAGGACCCACTCGTAAATAAGTGCCACCTTCCATTTCCGTTTAAGTTTTATTCTACTTAAGGAAGAATTCCTAAAGAACAGTGTAACGGGCTGAAACAACAAAAATACGTTCATATCTGTTTCTTTGTGCCAAAAAACTGATATTTCTAATTGGTGATGATCTCTGATATATATCCGATTTAAGACTATTTCGAACTTATGTATGTTATTATATTGTATAATGCGTAGGAATAGAATCAATAAAGAATGGAATAGAATACAGCAATAAGAAATAGAATACAGGCAGCAAATAGATGTTTTTGCGTATATTTGAACTTAATGAAATCAAGACTACTATTTAAGGAAAGTAAGTTACGAATGTAACTGAGCTTCATATGGCTCAGAAACATGGACAATGACGAGGGCGGACGAACAAGCGTTAAAAATTTCCGATAGAAAAATAGTTCTTCAAATCTATGGGCCAATCCAAATTGGTACAGAAACTTTTCAAAGACAAACAAATAATGAAATTCAAGAATTACTAAGAAACGAAAATATGGTGAGATTCATTAAGTCTATAAAGGCTAAAATGGGCTGCTCATGTAGTAAGAATGGGACTGGAGAGAAAGCCGAGCAGCATATACAATGCAAAGCCGATGATTCCAGGCATAGAGGTAGGTCAAGAACAAAAACGGATGATAACGTGTATAGTAATGCAACAACGATTGGAGTACTGAAGTGGAAGAGAGTAGCAGAAGATAGGAACAGATGGAGGTAGATCGTGAGAGAGGCCAAGGCTCACACTGGACTGTAGTGCCAAATAAGAAGAACACGTAGAACATATGGTCTAATCTAATTAACTAATTAGATGAAAAATGAATTTTTAGTTAATTTTCTAATCATAAATAATAAATATATTTTGTTCGAATGGATGTAGATTATTTGTATAATCCATATAAAAATTGCATATACTCGTTGACAATATATGGCATTACTTACTTAACTTGGACCCTCAATATCTCGAGAAATAAGTTTTCTTGGCATATCGCGTAATAGAAAAAAATGGTTCAAAATTGCTTTCACTGCTAAAATTCATTGTCAAATCGTGCCCTGGAAATCGTATTTACGCCGCTTTATAAAATTTATATAACAAAGTCTGCTACCAAATTTAATATTTAGATATATATACTTACATTATATAGAGTACGTGATGAAAAATAACAAAGATTGACTTAGAGACAAATATCACTGCCAAGCAAGCTGACTCTTCACTTTATTATAGAAAAAACATTTATTTCAGTACTAGTTGTATACCGAATTTGAAAAATTAATTCAGTATATCTAATCGGTTATAATTTGATACATTTCTGACACATTAGGAGCACATCAAGTTTACTTATGTTTTGTGTTGAATTTTTACCCTCATATATAATATTTTCTTTGTAAATGAATAAGTTATTTCTCATTAATTATATTTTGTATAATATAAAAGCTTAAGTACTATATATATCTAAGATTATATGAAAACCAATAAAACATCTGTAATTATACTTACTTATCTACATATGTACTAAACTTATATATTAATATTAAGTAGAACTAACTTATAAATAAACAATACAATATTTGTAGATATTATTTTATACTAAATTGTTTCCATTTATTTTTAGATTTATTAAAAAATTGGAAAAAAGTATATTTTAATAAAGTTGTTGTTGGCATATTATGGAAGAAAAATGCCTGCGCACTGTTGATAATAGTATAATTTTACAACATAATACAGATTCAATTAGCGAAAATTTTTTGGTGGGACAAGATTTGCTGTTACATCAACCATCGACAAGTTATAGTTCCATGTCACTTTTACAGGATGATGATTTCGCTAATTCGCAACACGATTTCGCAGAAGTGCTTGATGATGAAACAACAACATCTGGTGTATCAGAAACATTTGAAATAAGCTCGTCAAATTCTTTGCCCACATGTTCGGATGGAACAGCTCCAGTTGCAGTTGATGATTGTTCCTCAACTGATACTATTAAACTAGTACAAGTATCGGAATCCGTATCTAGTAATAATGAATTTTACAATGATGCCGAAATTTATGTTATAAATGACGACGATGAAGATGATGAAACAGTTGGTTGTATCAGTGAAACAAATCCAAGCACATCTCGTATCATAACCTCTGGTTCAATAGATGATAGTCAACCGAATGGTGTAATTGTGGCAGCAGGAGGAAAAACAATTTATTTAGAAACACCTGTAGTTGAAGGCCAACAACACCCGCAAATATTAAATTTGTCAGAGCAATTGGATTTTACTGAAAAAGCTGGCAAGCCAAAGCGTTTGAGTGATGAATTTCTACTTGGCGAAAATAATGAAACACAAATGAACACTGAAGAGATTTCAGAAGGAAAATGTGTTAGAGAGAAATCAGTTTCGAATCTTGATAAATTTAATATAAGCACAGCAGAAATTGCATTAAAAATTCAAAAGTCTGAACGTTGCGCTGAAAGCAATGTTGAATCTCAACATGAGCGCATGTCTTTTCGTTTGAAAAAAATGAACATTAATAATAATAATACACAAAACTCGAATGTTAAGGTTGTGGCGTTAGAAATTATACCTTCTAGTTCACATGATTTATCAGCATCCACATTAGCAGATATAGAATCTATGGATCTAATTGAACGCCAGGACTTTGAAAGAGAGCAACGATTAACTGGTGGAGTCATACTTAAGTCGAGTTCTTTCGGTTCTAATTTAATAAAATCACTTATTCAGGAACAGAAAAATGAGCAGCAACTCCATACTGACGATGACTGTCCAAGCAGTAGTAGCTGCAGTAATGGTCGTGCCGTTTCCTCGGATAGTAAGGTAAAGTTATCATATGATATGTAGTAATAATTAATATTAAAAAATTTCTTTTTTTCTAAAACAAATAGTGTACGTACAAAGATTTAACTACAACACCAACAAGCAGTAGAATACATAATAGTCGTTTAACCAAATCAACTGCCAAACTAAACCTATGCTCTACTCTAAGTCATTCGCAGCAGCAACAAAATCAACGCATTAAAACAAATGTAAATGCTGCCAAAGTTCTAATCCAAAAACCAGCTACGTCATCTTCTACTGCAACATCAACATCTTCTTCCTCAGAAATTGCTGACTCACAATCTGCACCAGAAAAAGTATCTATTGCTGGCACTTCAGCCAGTTCAGATATTTTTTCAAATTCAAATTCCAATGATAGTTTAATGGGCGGTAGCACAACAACGGAGTCAAATAACTGCCAGGAGAGTTTACAGGAAGAGCCGAAACAACCAATAGCATCCGTTTTAGATAATGAAAATAGTTGTAGTCGTACCAGCGCATTACATTCTCAAATAGCATCAGCTTCTGAAAGTAACTTAGCAGTTTTTGATGACGCACAGCCGTCTACATCATCTGCTCGGTGTCATTATGCGCCACATAAAAACTTACGACAAGTTCATGCCAGTGCACAAACAGTTGAACGATACCTTTCCAGAAGTGCGAGTAATGCAAATTTAATTGGTACCGTTAATGCTGCTGATTCTAGTAGCGGATCGAGTGTTAATTTAATAACTGGTAATAGAACACGTCGTCGTACTGACCCTTCAACTATTTCTGTTTTTAAAATGGCAAATGAGACTTCAGCAGATGTGGTCCCAATTGACAATGGTGATTTTAGCGAAGATACGTGGGCGGATTGTGAAGAAAATACTTCTGATTTGGAAGAAATATGTACCTGCCATCATAGCACCAGCAGTAGCATAAGCAGTCATGGAGGTAGTAACACAAGTTTGAATGAAACTGACGAACTTGATAATTCTGTTTTATGTGGCAAAGAAAATGATCTTTCTAATTACATACAAATGGTTTCTTTATCAGAGGAAGCAACATTGCATACACCAGATTGTGCAAGTGCTTCATTAAACAACAATCAACAGCGTAAACGAAAGTACAATGATAGTCGTCTTATTGACGGTGACCATAACACTGCTATAAGTAGTACCGGTAGTTGCATTGGTGATGCTAATAGTAGAAAGCGAATTGCTTATGATTTTACATCAACACCGCGAACGTCGCAAAATAGTGTTGTAGTTACCACAACGCCTTCATCTCAATTGACATTGTCTATTGGTGGTTCACCAGTAGGCAGACGTACACCACGTTCTGTAATACCTACACGAGATAATCCACCTCCGGAATTGCAAAATTGGTTAACACAATTTCAACGTTGGTCCCATGCTGAACGTTTATTAGCAGTGGATCGCCTTATTGAACACTGTGAACCAACACAAGTCCGACACATGATGAAAGTAATTGAGCCACAATTTCAACGTGATTTTATATCATTGTTACCACGCGAATTGGCACTACAGGTATTAAGCTATTTAGAGCCAAAAGATCTTCTCCGTGCTGCACAAACTTGTCGAAGTTGGCGTTTCCTTTGCGACGACAATCTGTTATGGAAAGAAAAATGTCGGAAATCTCAAGTTTTATCAGAAACAAGAACTGATCGCCCAAAACGTGGTAGAGCTGGAAATATGCCACCAATTGCATCACCATGGAAAGCTGCATATATGCGGCAACATATAATAGAAATGAATTGGCGCTCACGTCCAATACGTGATCCAAAAGTACTGAAAGGTCATGATGATCATGTTATAACATGTTTACAATTCTCGGGAAATCGCATTGTATCAGGTTCAGATGACAACACTTTAAAAGTTTGGTCAGCTGTTACCGGCAGGGTAAGTACAGATTAATTTTTATTAAAAAATTACTTATATATATTTATGTATAAATGGTTTAGTGTTTACGTACCTTGGTTGGACATACCGGAGGCGTGTGGTCTTCTCAAATGTCTGGCAATACTATAATCTCAGGAAGCACAGATCGTACACTTAAAGTATGGGATATGGAGACTGGTTCATGTGTGCATACATTACTTGGACATACATCTACAGTGAGGTGTATGCATTTGCATGGGAAAAAGTAAGTAGCAAAATAGCAAAAATGTAAAATATTTATTGTATATAGAAATAATAATTAATTATTCACAGAGTTGTAAGTGGATCACGTGATGCAACCCTGCGAGTTTGGGATATTGAACAAGGTAGTTGTCTGCATTTACTTGTTGGACATTTAGCTGCTGTTCGTTGTGTGCAATATGATGGAAAGCTTATTGTTTCTGGCGCCTATGATTATATGGTTAAAGTATGGCATCCAGAACGGCAGGAATGCTTACATACACTTCAGGGACATACGAATAGGGTTTATTCATTACAGGTATAATAAACTGTGTGATAAGATTTTTATAAACATTTGTAACAATTAATGTATATTTCCATAACAGTTTGATGGTATACACGTTGTTTCGGGATCATTAGATACTTCAATACGGGTTTGGGATGTTGAAACTGGTAATTGTAAACATACGTTAATGGGACATCAGAGTCTTACTTCTGGTATGGAATTACGGGATAATATTTTAGTCTCTGGAAATGCAGACTCCACTGTTAAAGTTTGGGATATTACAACGGGCCAGTGCCTGCAAACACTTTCTGGTAAGTATAAAAGAGAAAAATTTTAAATATTTTAATATTTTTATTTTAATATATGATTTCCTTATTTAGTTTATTTTTATTAATGAACTTGTTAGTTAATTTTAAAAATCCATTTAAATTATTGTTCAAGGTTTTTATTTTTATTTTACTTTCTAATATTTCAACCAGTTTTAATAGAAAGGGAACTAATGTTAAAAACAATATATATAGAATGACTATTGAGGTCGAAATAGTAGAAATTAAATAAAATAAAAATATTTATCTGCACATAATGTGTAAAAAAAACAGAAAGTTACTTTATACGCAAGTAATTAGACCTGCACTACTGTACGGATGTGTTACATATTGCAAAGCCTCAAATACTACCTTAAAGCAGTTACAGATAGCTCAAAACCTGGCTTTAAGAAAACTGTTTAAGATTCCATAGTATATTAGATCAACAGACATACATAGAGATCTTAGGATTGATTCAGTGAAAAAATATATCAGAGACAGAGCTTTAAAATTATTCACTAAAGTTGATACGCTAATTAACCCCGCCCTAACAATCCTCAAGTCCACTTCTGGACTTTCAGGAAGATATGCTGATTTAAGGTCCGTCATCAACTAAAAGACAAATAAATTATATGATTTTTTTTTTTTAGCCTAGTTAAAGCCTAGTGTGGGGTAGAGATAAGCCCCCCAGCCATTATAGAGTAAAAGTGCACTAACTCAAGAAGAAGAAGAATCAAGATAATGTGTATTTTTTTATTTTTGATTAAAATTAAAAAGGTCACAAAAACGAAAAATATTTTATAGAGTAGAATTCTAAATTTTATCTAGTAGTCATATATATATGTTATATGTCTATTATTATATGTATATAATATCCGCAAAAATGTAGCATTATTTTGTGTTACATATTTTGAGAAATTCTGCACGACAGAATTTTATATTTTTTCAGTTATTGCTTGAAATTGAAACAAAATGTATTTTTATCTTTGCAATGACTCTGTTTTGTAGATTAGCTGTAGGTTACACTATGACCTGGCGGGATTTGTAACATTCATTTTATTTTATTATTACTTACCGTTTCCTTTATAAATTTAAAATGTCTGAAATGACTTTAAACATCAGTTAAAAGCTTATTCTTTTAAATATTCAAACCTTTTTATATATTTTTCTTTAGCTGAATATATCATGAGAATTATTTAGAATATTCGGAAAATACTATTAAAATTTAATAAATATCATTTTTAGAGTCAGCAGACTGTTTCACTAGTTTTAATTTCATAACTTTCCAGTTTTGTCACTTTTATACTTCTGTATTTTGTTTAGGCGTATTTTTTTCAGTGAAGTTTAATTTAATTCTACTTTTTTCATTCTAACATCTAAATTCGTAGATTTGAATAGAATTGTTTTGAATTTTCCAGTTGATGATACCCACATTGTCTTATGAGAGATTGTTTATGTGCTTGCCGTTAGTGGATAAACCAATAGCAAATCTTAACGAATTTGTTATCGCTCTTGTTTCGAATAGTGGACCCCATATATATATTTTAACTCTTTCTCTTAAGTGTCCAGAAGGACTAAAAAATACATCTTTTCAATATGAGTGCATCTATTCCTATGTTGATCGTTTAGTACGTTTTTTTTTTGTGACTATCAGTTTCCGTAGGAGTATAGTAATTTATGTTGACCATGTTGTACGTATTTCTTTCATTGAAATTTTAGAATACACATTTTGCAGTTGGATAGTGTAAATGTTAGTTTAATTTTTAT